TTGCGCATACAGTGGAGGCCCATGCCAAGAAATACCATGCTTGCCTCCAGGGTGCCCTGGGTTTCTTGGGTTTCGATGGTTTTGCCATGGAAAGCGTGACGCTCCCACGCCAAAAAACAATGGACGTCCTGGGGTCTCAGGATTGAGTTTCTTGTGGCAGGCTTCTTGTAGACTGGCCTCCACCGTAGTGGTATTCCACCGTTGCTTCCTCGGTGCGCCTCTCGTGCACGTCCCTCCAGTTCCTCCGGTCCGCCTCCTTCTGCTAGCAGGTCTGGATCTCGGGCAGGCGTGCCTCACGGTGCTCCGCCGTGCCCGTCTCCGCGCGCTGGAGTCCGTGCTACAGTTGTTCCTCATCCTCCTCCTCCTCCTCCTCCTCCTCCTCCTCCTCCTCCTCCTCCTCCTCCTCCTCCTCCTCCTCCTCCTTCTCCTCCTCCTCTCTCTCCTCCTCCCTCTCCCGCTCTCCTCATCCTCTCCTCCTCCTCCCCTCCTCCTCCTCCTTCCTCCCTCCTCCTCCTTCCTCCTCCGTCCTTCCTCTTCCTCCTTCCTCGTTCCTCCTCTCTTCTTCCGCCTCCCCCTCCTCCTCCTCCTTCCTTCCTGCGCCTCCGCCTCGCCTCCTCTCCTCCTCCCTCCTCTCCTCCTTCCTCTCCTCCTCTCCTCTTTCTCCTTCTCCTCCTGTCCTCCCCTCCTCCTCTCCTCCTTCCTCTCCGGTGTTTGCTCCGCGTGGCCGTCTCCGCGTTGCTGGCGTCGTTGCTGCTACAGCTGTTTCTCATCCTCCTCCTCCTTCTCCTCCTCCTCCTTTCCTATCCTTTCCTCCTTCTTCCTCCCCTCCTTCTCCTCCTGTCTCCTCCTCCTCCTCCTCCTCCTCCTCCTCCTCCTCCTCATCATCATCATCATCATCATCATCATCATCATCATCCTCCCCTCGGCTCGCAGGGGATTATGCCAGGCTTGCTGCTCGTGCGTGTCCCTGCCAGTTCGTACATGTTGGAGGTAGTCTTCGTGGTGCTGGGCCTGTTCAGCAGCCCTTCCTCTGTCGAGGCGTTCGATGTCGGTGACTCTCTCCTGGTACTCCTCGCGGACGCGGCAGCTCGTCGCCTTTTACGTGCATGTCCTGGTCATGTAGCTCAGCTTGGGCATGTAGGCGCCTGTCCTCAGCATCTCCCCGTGTCTTGTGGAGCAGGGCGTGCTCAATGCGGTCATAGAGACGCTGCGCTTCGATGCTGGCGATCTGTCGCTCGGCCTCGTTGGCCATGCGGGAGTGTGGTTGTCTTTCCTTGGCCATATGTTCTACCTCGCGTAGCTGCTGTTGTATGCTCAGGTGGTCGTTGTGGCTCTCGACGAGCTTCTGCTGCGCGATCCGGAGCTCGTTGTGCGGTGCGTCTGTCTCGGCGTGGTCGCGTGGTTCTGGGATATCCCTTGTGGTAGTCCTCCTCGCCTCGAGCTCCCCCGTCCTGTTCGGGGTTGCCGTGCTCTTGGCTTGCAGGAGTTCGTGGTGAGCGGAGTTCGTCAGTTTGGCATGTTCGATCTCGTTAGTCAGCTCGCTCTGGTAGTGGCGGGCGGGCGCTGTTTCCTGATGTTGTCTCTCGCGTTGCTCCCGTGCGCTCTCTTCTGCCGCACGGAGGTGTTTCTGGAGGGCGTGGATCTCGTTCCTGGCGTCTCTTTTGGTGTTACTGATGTCGTAGGCCATTCGTTGGTTGTCCTCTCTCAGTGTTTTGAGTATTATTCCGACGTCCTGGCTCTCAGTCGTCTCCCCAGCCCTTGTTTGCTTTCTGGGATCCGGTGTGGGCGCCCTTCTGTGTGGTGTATCCCTCTGCAGCTTTTCGGCTTCGTCGTCTGCAGCACCTGTGTCACTGTAGATGTCGTCCCTGACTATGCTGATGTCATACTGCTGAGGAGCATGGCGTTGATGCAGGCAATCTGGGCGACTGCATCTGTAGTAGGTAGTCCTAGATCGCTGTTCTTCGTGATGATTTCGGCTGACCGCCTTTGCTCGATGAGCTTGATCTTCTTCCAGTCGTCTCTGAGCTTTTGGGCGTTTGGTGGCGACTCCCAGTCAGGCCTTCGGACGGCGTAGACCTTGCGCGTCGGCCTGGAGTTGTTGATGGTGTTCGTGATGTGGTCGTTATAGTCCTGGACGCTATCCTTTTGCTTCTGTTTGGGCGTGTTGTTTCCCTCGGATTGTGCATTGGTCTTTCCCTTGCCCTTGTTGTTTTTGTTATTGCCCTTCTGGCTACGGTTGTCAAGCTCGATGTCGTCGTCGTAGGGTTTGAGGAAGTTCCCCGTGCCCTTGCCGGTGTTGCTCTTGCCGTTGTGGCTTTTGTTCCAGTAGGTGTCGGGGTGGTCGTTGGCCCACTGCTCCGTCCGCTTGTTGTTCCTCCAGCGCTCGAGGCCTGCTCCAATCGCCGGTGGAGTAGGGCGTGGTGTCGGTCCTCTGCTTGGGGTGCGGCTCGGGGTTGATCTCCAGGGTGGTGGCGTAGTTCCTGAGCCGGTAGCGGTTGATCCCCATTGTGCCGCCATTGTAGGAGCTTGAGATGGACATCGCGGTGGTTGCTGTGTGCTGTTATGCGCTTCAAGCAGTTATCGTGCAGCGTGGAGATGGTGCTGCGTGTGTTGATCGAGTAGTGATCATACGGATGTGATCCGTAGTAGTACTCACTCGTGCAGCAGCCCGCCGTTCTCGTTCGCGGCGATGTCAAGCTGGGTTAGTCGGCGTTGAAGTCGTGGTGTCCTGGGAAAGGGAACAGGGTGTAGTCGAAACGGAGTGTTGGAGTATAGGTTTGAAAGGATGTATGAGGTGTATCGGAAAAAATAAGATTTCGGTCGAGGCTGGCCCCCTAGGGCTGTCACACTGCCACGGGTTTCTGGGCAATCCGTGGCTTCCTCCGCCTCCCCCTCCTCCTCCTCCGCCCCGCGTCCTCCCGTCCCCCTCCCCCGCCTCCCCCTCCTCCTCCCCCATCTCCTCCTCCTCCTCCCCCCCCCCTCTGCAGCACCCACCGCCCCGCCGAGGTGGTGCAGCAGATCCTGGGAGACCTGGAGCGGCAGGGCTCGCGCCCGCTGGACTTCGCCGGCTTCCTGGACCTCATGCGGGCGCCCCAGCCGGCCGAGCCCGCCGGCGGCGGCCTCGGCGGCGGGCCTTGGCCGTCGCTCGACGACGCCGTTGGTCGCCGTGGCCGTCGTCGGCGACGCCGTCGGTCGTCGACGTCGTCGTCGCCGCTGTGGTCGTCGTCTCAGGAGGACGAGGAGGAGAAGGAGGAGGAGGAGGAGGAGGAGGAGAAAGAGGAGGAGGAGGAGGAGGAGGAAGAGGAAGATTGAGGAGGAGGGAGGCGGAGGAGGGGAGGAAGGAGGAGAGGAGGAGGAGGAGGAGGAGGAGGGCAGGGAGGGAGAAGGAAAGAGGAGGAGGAGGAGGAGGAGAGGAGGAGGAGGAGGAGAGGAGGGAAGGGAGCAGGAGGGAAGGGAGAGGAGAAAGAGGCGGAGGGGGGAGGTGGAGGTTAGGGGGGAGGAGGGAGAGGAGGAGGAGGGGAGGAGGAGGAGGAGCGGAAGAGGGAGCGAGGAGGAGGAGAGGAGAAGAGGAGGAGGAGGAGGAGGAGGAGGAGGATGGAAGGAGAAAGAGGAGGAAGAGGAGGGCAGGAGGCAGGGAGGAGGGAGAAAGGGAGGAGGAGGAGGGAGACGGGAGCAGGAGGAGGAGGGAGGAGGAGGAGGATGAAGAGGAGGGAAAGAGGTGGAGGGGGAGGAGGAGGGGAAAGAGGAGGAGGAGGGAGGGAGCAGGGGGAGGGGGCGGGAGGAGGGGGGGAGGTGGGAAGAGGAGGAGGAGGAGGAGGGGGGAGGAGGAGGAGGAGGAAGAGGAGGAGCAGAGGAGCAGGAGAAGGAGGAGGAGGAGAGGCGAAAGAGGGAGGAGAAGGGAAGGAGGAGGCAGGAGGTGGAGGGAAAGAGGAGGAGGAGGAGAAGGAGGAGGAAGGGAGAGGAGGAAAGAGGAGGAGGAGGAGGTCGCAGGAGGAGGAGAAAGAGGAGGAGGGGGAGGTGGGAGGGAGAGAGGGAGGGGGGAGGAGGAGGGGGGGCGAGAGGAGGAGGGAGGAGGAGGAGGAGGAGGAGGAGGATGAGGAGGAGGAAGAGGGAGTGAGGAGGGGAGTAAGCAGAAGGGGGGTGGAGGAGGGGGGGAGGGCAGGGTAGGGGGAGGAGGGAGAGGAGGAGGAGGAGGAGGAGGAGGAGGAGGACGAGGAGGAGGAGGAGGAGGAGGAGGAGGAGGAGGAGGAGGAGGAGGAGCAGGAGGAGGCGCAGGAGGGCGGGGAGGAGGAGGGTCTAGGCTTCGGGCTGCGGGGGACCTGATTACAGGGGGAGCCGCGGAGACTCCTGGAAAGTCTCCGGAGGCGTCCCGGGACTTCTGGAGACTTCTGAGAGGGGGAGGGGAAGGGAGCAGGAGAAGGAGGAGAGCATCGGGGGAACCGAAACATGAGCTACGGCGCGTGATTGGCGACGGATCCCGCTGCCATGCAGGATCGGCGCGCTCCGTCGCCACATCAGACGGCGTTGCCCTCACGTTTCGGGCCTGCCTTCCCCAATCCGTGGATCTGGCGCCCACGCGCCAGATCCACGGATCCGTAGTACATTACAGCGCGTGCCCGTACGTAGGAGGAGAGGAGCAGTTGGGGGAGGAGGCGCAGGAGGAGAGGGAGGAGGGCGATTGCTGCTCCCCCCTTCTCCTCCTCGCCTCCCTCCCTCTCCTCCCTCATCACCCCTCTCCTCTCGTCGTCGTGGTCCGGTCCTCCTTCTCCTCCCCCTCCTCCTCCTCCTCCTCCTCCTCCTCCTCCTCCTCCTCCTCCTCCTCCTCCTCCTCCTCCTCCCCCTCCTCCTCCTCCTCCTTCTCCCCCTCCTCCTCCTTCCTATAGTGTCCGTAGCCATTTTGGCTCAAGCTGGTTCCCCGTGTCTCTCGCAGCTTCTCGCCCATGGCCGGTCGTGCGGCGCCTGCGGCCTGGAGGAGGCTGGCCTGAGAAGGCACCAGTGGGATGGTGGCTGCGGCGGGCTGCGCGGTGGCTTTCGGAGTCGCCCAGCAGCCGCAGGGTGCTGCCGCTGGGACGCCAGGCGCTTCTGCGCTGCGGCGGGCGCGCCAGCTGGCGGCCCGGCATGCCGACGCGGGGCGATTGCAGGCCGCCCTGCACCGTGTGGAGGAGCTCGAGGTCGAGCTTCAGAACCTGCAGTCGGCGGTGCGAGCGATGAGGCTCCAGGCCGTAGAGCAGGCCGCAGCTGTGTTGCCGACGGAGAAGGCGCCTTCGCCGCCTCCGGAGGCCAACCCGGGTGCACAGACCTCGCTTTGGGTGCACGCGCCGCCTGGGGCCACGGTGTCGGCCGAGCCGTCCCTGGAGGCGAGCGCTTGGCCCTCATGGCGCCGGTGCTGACCAACTCGAGGGCAGACTCGAGCACGGTCCGACGCCGCAACGAGGCGGGGCAGTGCTGGGGGGCCCCACCGCGTGCCATCCGCCGCATGGGCAAGGCCAGCCTCAACCGCCTCCAGCGCAGCGAAGGGGGCTCGGGCACCGAGGCTCGGCAGCGCCCTGCGAGGCAGGCCAGCGCGCGCAGGCCAGCCCGCGACACGCTCGGCCGCCGAGGCGGCCCCCGCCTGCTGGGAGGTCGCCGCACGGCGAGGGCGCTCTGAGCCCGCGGGGAGGCGATTCGACCTCGCCCAGCGGGCCCGCCTCGCCGAGGTCGCGGTGCAGAGGCCGCTTGCTGGGGGCCCGCGGTGGTGGACGGCGGAGGCCGAATGGGCGGGCCGCCCCGCCGCCACCCCTCCCACGGCGGCTGCCGCCCCTCAGGACGATGAAGGGCATGTTCCTGGGGATGCCACTCACGTTGCGCGTCGTGGCGGCGTTGTCCTAGCGAGTGGCCCTCGTCAGGATGGAGCTTCCCCCGTCGGGGAGCTTAGGGGAGCTTCCGAAGAAGGTCGCGATGAAGGTGACGACGGTCGTCCTGAACACCGCGGCGCTGGTGCTGAGCTGGTTCGCGACGCGCCTTTTCGTCGCCGCTCGTCAAGCTGAAGGGGATCCTCCCGATGTTCATGGTAATGGAGGCGCTGGAGGTCTGGCTCTTCCCCGTCTCAGTGCGCCCGCACCTCAGGCTGTGGTCCATGCTGGAGCCACCGACGACCACGACGTCCATGATGGTGGCGGTCGTCCCGTGCACCGTGGCGCAGGTGCCACGCCTGGCGGCTGCGAACATCACGATGCTGCTCGGTACGCTGGTGGAGTTCCTCGTGTTCTTCTGGCAGGGCCTCGCGTTGCAGATGCCCTCCGGAGGCGTGCGAGGCGGACGAACAGATCTCCCTCGACGTCGGCGCCTCCCCCAGCGCCGCGTTGGCCCGCGGCGACGGCTTCCCCGACCCGTTCGACGAGCGGAGGGTTACGGGTGGGCGCCGACGGCTTTTGGTCATCCAGAGCCACTTCTTCCAGACGGTGGGCACGGAGCGGTTGGGGGGCAAGCCGTCCGAGGTCTGGATCCAGGAGCGCGAGTCGGAGCACCAGGCGCAGATCCTAGATCAAGCGCGCGCACAGGGACGGCCTCGTCACCAAGCTCAGGCTGAAGGCCAGGCGCAAGTGGGCTGCGGCGACGGTGGCACGCGCGACCTGCTGGGTATGCCTCGAAATTCTGGCGCGGCGCCCCTCGGCGTGGCTTCGGGCGGCCGCCGCCTGGGATCGGGCTCGCACTTGGGTGCGAACCCGCTTCCCCGTTGGGGTGCGGGGCGGCCGCTGGCGGCTGCTGGGGGTGCCCGTTTTTGTTCCTGCGGGGGTGGACTCCGCCTGACTTCGCTCCTCCGGTGAAGGGGCGCGGTCGGGGCGGAAGCTTGTCTGGGCTACGGTCCGGGGGCTCCTCGTCGCCTCGTCTCCTGCGCGGAGCGCCGCCGCGGGCGGCGGCGGCGAACCCGATGACATCTGGGGCCCTGGCGTCCGTCAGCTTGCTGACGGTCGCCAGGGTCTCTTTGATGCTGTCCCATCCATCCATCATCGTTCCTATTGCTTTGCTGTTTTTCCGTCGTTATCCTCCTCATTATCCCCCTGCTCCTCCTCCTCCTTCTCCTCCTCCTCCGTAGCCATGTTGGCTCAAGCCATTTCTGGTTCGGGTCGGCACACTCACCTTTGATCATCGCACTTGGAAGTGGCACCGCCGGTCAGAGCCAATATTTACCCGTACACGCGCTCCGCATGTCTCCAGCAGGCGGCCGCCGTCGTCGCGATGGCGCGTCGCTGCAGGAGTGGGCGCGCAGGGGCAAGCGCGGCGGCTTCTGCAATCGGGGCTGGCGTGGGCAATGCCTCTGGTGCGGAGCCGAGGCGCCGGACCGGGTCTTGCGCGCTGCCGAGAAGCTCAAGCCAGCCGCTGCCGTGCCCGCGCCTCCGCGGGGCCGCTGGGGCCACGGCGCGCCAGGCGGAGGCAAGTACAGCAAGGGCCCGAGCAAAGAGGAGATCGAGGAGGCCGCCATCCAGAAACACAAGGAGCAGATCGCGGCGAGGGCCAAGGTTAAGGGGTCCGGCCCCCAATCGTGGCTGCGGAAAGCCGTTCAGGGTTTTCTGCCGCCAGGGTGTCATTGTTCAGCTTGGCCCTCATCGGGCCATTGATGAATGTTCTTCGCTCGTTTTGCTCCAAATAGACTTGCCTACAGGAGTCCGACGTCAATGCATACAGAGCTCGTCTACGGAAACCAACTCACGCACCCTAGTTCGCCCCTGCACGGTCAAACGATGCGCGTGGCGTCCACTGTGTGCGCATGGCCTCTTCGACTATGAGCACGGTTTCATTTGTATACACATTGTTTCCTCTGCTATGCACATGGCCCCCCCTACTATCCGCAAGCCGCCTGGTTTCCTCCGCAGAATAGAGCAGAGCTGAGTAGGGGAGAGTATAACGGAGTAGAGCAAGAGCAGAGCAGATGGTAGGGCAGAGTCGGATATGAAAGAGTAGAGCGTAGCAGGGTAGAGCAGAGTGGAGCAGAGGAGAGTATATTTGAGAATAGCCGAGTAGGAGTACATTATGATGCAAGTTAGCCAGGTCGAGCGAGTCAGAGAGCCCGCGGTCGTTCGACGTCGACGATGAGCGGGGGACAGTCGTCGAGCCCGAGGTCGTCGCCCACACCAACGGGGGAGAGCGCGTCTGGACTACTCTGCTGGTGTGGCAGGGATTGTTTTTGTCGCGGCTGCGTTTTCGACCACCCCGATGGCCGAGTCGCGAAAACCGCGGCCCGGTGTCCTCTTGCGCGAGCGGCCACAGCAGTGCAGTCTTCTCGTGGCACCTCGTGGGTTGCTCCGGCTGCGCGGCCCATCAATTGCGGCAAATTCGGCGCTTCTGCGGACGCATTGGAACTGGAGGAAACAGATGGCATATTTGTGGCACAGCCTCGTTCGACTGGGCAACGGCCCGAGCACCCGCCAGAGCCAGACGTCAATTGGGTGCTGTAAATTCCCTTGGCGCACGTGATTCATATGTTCATCGTGAGGTTCTAGTCGTGCGCTTGGTGTGGGCTGTTGAAACGAACGCTCTGTGCTCGCTGGCTTCCCAAACAGGGACTGCCGGCACTGAGTGTGCCGCTTGCTCAACGTTTTCTTGTTGTTGTACCTGATCGTGGTATCCGCCGCGTTGCGCTATGCATTCGTATTCGCCCCAAGCCTACCTGTATCCATGCTTCTAAGGTTTTCGTTAATAACCTGTAGCGCGGGGTTGGAGATTGTTCGAGCTGTAGTGTTTGTGTCAAATTATATGTGGCTAATTTGTCTTTCCTCCTCCTTCTCCTCCTCCTCCTCCTCCTCCTCCTCGTCCTCCTCATCATCCTCCTCATTGCCCTGCTCGTCCTCCTCATCACCCCTCGCCTCCCCCTCGTCAGCAATTTCGAAGGCTTCGCCCAATTGGCGTCCGTTGCCATCATTCTGAATTGTCCTGAGTGTTCTAGCTCGTCATCATCACCATCACCACCATCACCATCACCATCACCATCATCACCATCATCATCATCATCATCATCATCATCATCATCATCATCATCATCATCATCATCGGCATCATCGTCCTCATCATCCTCATCATCATCAGCATCATCATCGTCAGCATCATCGTTCTTCTTGTCCCCTCCTCTCTCCCTCCCTCCCGCGGACACGGCGTCCTGCGGCGCCGTTCACCGCCACGGAGGGCAGGGTTCCTCAGAGGCTTTCCAGAGGTCCCCAGGACAAGATCGCCGTCCCGAGCCCTTTCTGACAGTCCCAGGGCCCGAGGAGGCCCCCGAGAGCCCAAAACCGACGAAAGTCTCAGGACTCGTTTCTTTCAGGGCCAGTTTCCCTCAGGACCCCTTTTCATTCATGGTGTTATTGAGCTATTTCTCATCACTCCTCCTCTCGCCTCCTCCTCTGGGGGCGGGCGCGGGATGCAGGATCGACTAAGGACCGCAAAGATGGGCGAGCGCGACACGCGGGAGGACATCTCCAAGGCTTTCGGATGGGGGACGGGGTCCTTCCTCCTCCTCCTCCTCCTCCTCCTCCTCTTCCTCCTCCTCCTCCTCATACTCCTTTTGTTCTTTTTTTGTTCGTTATAGTAGTAGTAGTAGTAGTAGTAGTAGTAGTAGTAGTAGTAGTAGTAGTAGTAGTAGTAGTAGTAGTAGTAGTAGTAGTAGTAGTAGTAGTCGTAGTTCGTAGTAGTAGTAGTCGTAGTAGTCGTAGTAGTAGTAGTAGTAGTAGTAGTAGTAGTAGTAGTCGTAGTCGTAGTAGTAGTAGTAGTAGTAGTAGTATAGCAGCAGCAGTATAGTATAGTTATATGTACCTATATCAACACTGTCGTAGTAGTAGTAGTAGTAGTAGTAGTAGTAGTAGTAGTACTAGTTACTAGTACTAGTACTAGTACTAGTACTAGTACTAGTAGTAGTACTAGTACTAGTACTAGTACTAGTACTAGTACTAGTACTAGTACTAGTAATAGTAGCAGTAGTAGTAGTAGTAGCAGGAGTAGTAGTAGTAGTAGTAGTAGTAGTAACATAGTAATAGTAGTCGTAGTAGTAAGTGTTGTAGTAGTAGTAGTAGTAGTAATAGTCGTAGTAGTAGTAATAATAATAATAATTGTAGTAGTAATAATTGTAGTATGATTAGTCTTATTATTGTTATTATTATTCTGATTGTGCGCATTTTTATTATTCTAATTATTCATATTATTTGTAGTATTACTATGATTCCTCCATTCCCCCTTCTTCTTCCCCCTCCTCCTTCTTCTCGGCCGCCATTTTGGCTCAAGACCCTTCACCAGCCGGGAGACTGCTTGCGCCAGCGCCCTGCGTGCCGCTCCGCGGCTCGCCAGGCTCGCCTCCTCTCCCCTTCTGCCTTCGATGGTGCCACGCGGGCCCGCTCTCGCTGCCGAGCACCGCCGCTTGCGAGCCGTCGATCACGATATTCCAACCTACTTTTAGCCTTGACCACCAGAAAGATTTTCGAGCACCAAGAAGCCTGAGGGTTTCCACGCGTCGTGCCCTGGGGGGCGATACTCGTTCGACACGGCTTCGATACTTGTTTCTGGGTGCTCGAAGTTATGTCTGGGATGTGGTCCTTAAGCACGACGGGAGCAACACAAGCCGTTGATCGCCGATCCCTCTGCACACCGGCGTCCCTGGCCTTGCTTCCAGTGCGAGCTGCGTCGGCGGGCCGCGCGTCCAAGATGAGCCGGTCCCTGGAGCTGCACGGCGGCCACAGCAAAATCGTCGCGGCCCCTGCTCACTGCGCGCGTGTTGCCGCGCTTGGCGCCGCGCTTCCGGCTGCTACTGCGCGGCGCGCTCCTGCTCCTCGTCGTCGAGCGAGTCGTCTTGAGCACGAGTCCGACCTTCATGGCCAAGGTGCACTTATCCATGACCACCGCCTTGAGAGATCGAGCTCTCAGGGCCTCGTCGGGCGGTGGGCGTGGCCACCGCCTGCCGACGCCCACGAAGCTTCGATCCCCAACGCGGCACTCGTGAATAAATCCCCGCCTCGCACACGGTCAACCTCGTCGTGTTCCCGCCACCACTGGTGGCGCGCACCGTCTGCGTGCCAAGACTGCTGACTTCTCGCCCCGAGGAGCCCGCGCAGTGCTGCCAATCGGACAATGCCTAGTTTTTCGCCTGCCTGGATGTGTCTTTCTTCAAGATGTGGCGTTCGCTCGCTGACGCTCGGGTTATTTCGAAGGAGACAAACCTGCACAAACATGAATGTTTGGAGCTCTGCGCGGATTGCTTGGATCGGCGCTGGAGGCGCCGCCAGGGAGCCCAGCGCAACATTTTGGTCCTGCACGGGGGTTCGCTCGCTACTCGTGGTGTTGCAGACGAAGGGCTTGGTCTTGTGCGGGAGGTGGAGCACCAGAGCGAGGAGCAGATTGGGCATCTTGAGGAGGTGATGCTGTCCAGACAGGTTTGAGGAGGCCGCGCAGGTGGAGGCCGCCGACTTCGAGCAATAGCGTGCCTCGGTAAATTCTGCCGTCGATCTCGCCGTCGATGATCACCAAGTGGTTCAACAACAGATTGCCGATATTTGGCTACACGTCGTTGAGATCCCCTCGCCCGCCATGTTCCACGCCAAGCTTGAGTCGATGCGCGGCCTGTTCCGCTGCCGCACTGAGAAGCTCGCCGACAGACTGATTAGCAGAACATGTCGGCGGCTGGCACGTACGTCGATTCAGAGATCGAGGACACTCACCGATCCCCTTTGGAGGCTGCTGTCAAAAGATGCAGTCGCAACCGTTGGGTCGGCTCTGGGTGGACTGCCGGCATCTTGCCAACCGCTCTCGTGACGAAGTCTGTGAGCCTATGCAATCGGGCAGAGCTGGCACCATCGCCCTGGCCCGTGCGCTCGACTCGGAGACGCAGTCCCCGGCAGGAGCCCGCCGTCTCGAGCTCCTGGCTTCCAAAATGCAGGCTGATGTGATAAGGTAGCTTTAAGTCGGGCCTGTCCCTCTACAGGGGGAAGATGCAAAAATAGTATTTTAAAAGTCTGGGGACTATTTGTTTAGTATTTTTTTGACAATTTTGGAGCATTTCTTGAGTATTCTTTGTTTTTCGCCGAAAATCCTCCTGTAGGGGGGGGACACGCCCGACTTAAAGGTAGCCTCGTGTCGCGTCGACAGTGGCAGCGACCCCGCCGCGAGCGTCCCGGGTTGAGTGCCGCCGGTGGCCCGGAGTACACGAATGTGGAACCATTTGGCGATCCTAAGACCGCCGATCGTTAAAGGTTGAACTATTTTTGTTTGTGTCGCAACCGCAGGCGAAGGCGCCGGCGGCGTCAAAGGCCGGCTCGGGTTACGAGCAGATCTACTTGACCAAGCGCGCGCACGGGCAACTCAAGGTTGAACGATACACGCGGTGTCAGAAATGGTAAGGCTTTGGGTGTGGCACAGACAACCTCCCCAGATAGTCCGAGCTGGCCTCAAGAGTCCCCCCGAGTAGTCCGAGCTGGCTCCAACGAGCCACCCGAGTAGCCCCGGGCGGTCTCAACACCTCAACCTTGGGGCGCGGAGCGCCCCAGGGGCGGCGCCTAAGGCGGCGCCAGGCTGTTGAGAATGCACCAGACTACTCGGGGGCCTGTTGAGGCCAGTTGCGATTGCTCGGGAGGCATGCTGAGGCCAGCCGGGACCACCTGGCGGGGCTCTCTGTGCGCAACCAGAAGCTTCATCACACCTGCTCATCCTCCTCGCCTGCCTCGCTCATCATCGCCCACACGCTCGGCAAGTGTGGGCGGAGCTCCCTGCGGGGCACGAGCCATACGAGGGGTGCGCCGACGTGGGCGTGAAGACGCTACAGGCACGCCCCCGCGACGGCTGTTGGATTTTTGGCTCCTTCCGGTTATTACCGTCGCTCCAGGTTGAGCGATCCACGCGGTGTCAGAAACCAACACCGGGGTCGTGACGACACGGATTTGCCGTATGTGTTCGGTCCGACTTCTCTGAAGCGCAAGCAGACGTGACACGGCTCGGGTCCGCCCTCTGGGACGCAAGCGCTGGGCGTTGTGCCGTGATGCCGCGTTCGCGATGCGGTCCCCGCTGAGGGTGCGATGCGCGTTGCTGGGCGTTTCGTGGATGACAGCTGTGTTCTCCCAGGCGACCGAGGCGTCGATTGGCTGACGATCTTCGAACACTTCTCGCAGCAAGAAGGTGTTGGACTACCCTTGGCATATTTTTTTCTGGCACCCAGGCGCCCGACGTCGTGTTTCTTTGGCAACGTCGACCACCAGACGTCTCGACCCCTTCCCCTGGACTGTTTTCTCATCCTGAGTCGTTGTTGGGGGTCACGGGGCCCGTTGAGGGCCGCCAGAGGCTGAAAATAGCGAAAAACGTCCCGTCGCGAGTTTTTCACCACTTGAGAGGGTCTTGCTATATGTTTTATCTGGTAGCTGACAAACTGTCGAGACTTACTGCGCCCGCTACAGCTACCGCTGAGGGTTGCGGCCCTGGCACTTCGCCACCCTGCGCGTCAACCTACAGCTGGCCACGGTGCGCTTGTTCGCTTCCGCGTCCAGTGGTTCTCTCTGCCGTTCATGTTGATTGGGGCGATCTACAGTCAGCTCGCGTAGTAAGGGCGAGCAGCTTTCCAAGGTTGCCCTGTCCTTTCTTCGCTCTCGGCCCATCGTTGGCCGCTCTCGCTGGCCGCGCCCCGCCCGCACAGTGCCCACAGGGCCCCCCGATGCCCTTGCATGCTGATCGCGCGTCCTTGTTTTACTGATTGACTGCAAGGAGAAAAGACACAAAAACAATAAACACACACACACAAAAAAAACAACAATAAAAAAAAAGCGCCACACGCATACGTCGTCGGAGCTCCGCGCGGACTTCCCGGATCCGCCCCCCCCCCCCCCCCCCCCCCCGCGGCGCTTCCTGCGTTGCCCCCACGGCGCGCCCCGCGCGCCAGGGGAGGGGAAGCCCCGCGGAGATCCAAGAGGTCCGCGCGGACCTCCGAAAAGATATGGGAATGCCGTTCCTTATGATTTAATCGCTTCGCTCATTCCGCTGGCCCTGGAGCCCTCTCTAGGGCCTCTTGGGAGCCTCTTGGGGACCTCTTGGGAGTCTCTTGGGGCTCCTTGGCGGCGTCTTGGGGGCCCCCAGGGCCTCTTGGAGGGCTTTTGGGGGCCTCTTGGGGCGGGAGGGGGGTAGTCGATTGCGGCTCCCCCCTCGGAGGCCACGATCCTCGTGAGGGGTGTCGAAAAATGACCCTCCCCTGGAGTACTCTGGTGGCTTCTCCCGGGACCTTGCCGGGGTACTTCTCGTCCGGGGGCCCCCAGGGGCCGCTCCGCGCGCGCGAACTAGAAATAGTGTTAACCAGTTACCGGAGATCTTAGCACGCCTCTGGCCCGTTGGGCCGGCGAATTTTGGTCATATTTGATTCGGGCGGGTCGACTTCATGGGTTTCTTCTCGGCCGTTGAGGGGCTACGTTGAGGGGCTACGGAGAAACCTCGACGCCGTTCACGATGCGGTTCCCGCTGAACGTGCGACGCACGGTGCCAGGCGTATCGTGTACTACAGTGGTGTTATGTCGGGCGACCGCGACGTCGATGGGCTAACGAGTCGGTTTCATGGTTCTCTGCTCGGCCGTTACGAGGCTGCGGAGGAAGTGTGTCTTGCTTGTGGCGGGCGTGCGTGGCTCGCACTCGCGGGCCCGTCTCGCCCGCTTGCGCTTGTTTCGCGAGCTCGAGCCGACATGGGAGCTGTGATGCCTCGCACATTTGCCTGGATGCGAATGTGCCTCGTGGTGTGGTTTGGCGCCGTTGGATGGGATGGTGTGCTCTCCTGCGTCTTCGGCGCCCCAGCATGCGTGCTGCCTGGCCTTCCCTAATCATCACCCGCCCTGCAGGTTGTGGATTCTCCGAGGTGGGCAGGATCTTTCCTTCCAGGCTCGTCTCCTCCTCCCCCGCCTCTTCCTCCTCCTCCTCCTCCTCCCCCTCCTCCTCCTCTTCCTTCTGCCCTCGAGGGGGGGGAGAGCTGAGTGGGGATCCATCCTCTTGTTCGATCTGTGCGGATCGAGGTTTCGGGATGGTCCCGTCTTGGCGCCTCCGGCAGTTTGAGTGACAACCAGAGACCCGGAGACCTCCAGGGAGCTTCGGCCCTTCCTTTCTTCTGTTACTGGTGTTAAGTCTGGCCTGTCCCTCTACAGGGGGAATATTCAAGAACAGTCCAAAGATAGTCTGGGGACGATTTGTTCTATTATTTTTGATTATTGGGGGGGTATTGTTTGAGTTTTGTTTTATTGTTCGTCCAAAATCCCTCTATAGGGGGGCATGCCCGACCTGATGCTGGTGCTTTTCCTCTCGGGGGCCCTCCGCCCCTGAAAGAGAGCACCCTCCGGAAGTCATCGTCGTCCTCATCATCCTCCTCGTCGTCGTCCTCTTCTTGCTCCTGCGGAGGGGAGGGGGGGAGGGGAGGGGGAAGGGAGAGGACGGGAGAGAAGAGAAGAGGACAGCGGCGATGGGGAAGGGGAGTGGAGGGAGAGGGTTGGAGGGGAGGGGAGAAAAAGGAACAGGAGAGGAGGGTAGTAGAGAAGATGGAGAGGAGAGAAGGGGATCACGTTGGAGGGGGAAAGAGAGGTATTGAAACGTGGAGAGAGAGATGAGAGAGAGTGAGAGCGAGATAGATGCGAGAGAAGAGAGATATGAGAGAGAGGAAAGAAAGACGTAGATGAGAGAGAGTGAGATATGAGAGAAGAGGGAAAGATGAGAGACAGAGGGAGCCAGATATCAGAGAGGAGCAGATGTGAGCGGAGGAGAGGGGTAGAGGATCTGACGTCTCCGAGGTATTCCGGCTCTTCGACGACGACAGGACAGGGACCATCACGGCGACCGGAACATGTTAATCACATCTTTTTGTAAGCCCCAAGCTGTTTTTGGCACGGTGCGCGTGGAGGCAGCATATTGGTGGCGGGCGAGAGCAAACAATAACGAATTCGGTTGGATGTTCTCTGGCAGTTTGCATTGTTTATCCTTTGAGGCCGACCAGGCCGTACCAGGCTACTCCATCCGACTTCGGCACTATCCATTGATGTGTTTCCTATCCTGGTCGACAATCCTACATGTGAGATCATACCGTTCGGTACGAAGCACTGTCCGACGCGGGCATTTCGTAACAATATGATGTTGGCATTGTGCATGTCGGATAATAGGCCGTGACAATGAAATGTGGACCACATGCGCGCGCGTCTCGAAATTATACAGATGGTTGTTCTCCCAGAAAGCATCAGATGCAATGCTGTATCTGAAATCTGTCTCAATGTGATTGCGCGCGCACTGGCCAACATCATGCTGTGGGAGTACAAGTAGCTGCGATACACTTCTAGGATGGACTCATCAATGGCGAGGGGCTTGTATAAGTTGGTGTCCATCTGATCGTGCGGCCTTGTGCATGGACTGGCTGTAGCGTTTGCACTTTCACGGGCGGGCTCACTTCCGCCATGGCCTTTGGTACAAATGAGAGACAGTACGACTCAGTACGATGCGAAGGGTTACGAGGGAGTGCAAAGTTTTCTGATTCGGTGTGTGGGTTGGATGAAACTTACCAGTAGCATTTGACTCTCTAGTATACCTTTAACTCTCTCTACCCTCTATTCTGAACCCTGGCCCTCTGCAAATGATCGTTATATGCCCTCGACCCTCCATTCTCAAGTATCCACCCGTTTATACTTCATCACCATATCTTCTTTACCCTTTGTTTTCTACACTACACAAAATCCTCCAAGCTTTCTGCGCTCTGCTCAGTGTGTTCCCTTCCTTTCCGTCTAGGACGCCTGTACTTTCGAGATCCAGGAATCCCGGCACGGGGCCCTTGGGAACTAGACCTGTTTGCCAAAATCGGTGGCACAATTTTCACCAGAACGTTGCAGCATCCGCGAAGACCCTTCGGCACAACAAAATGATTGCGCGCAGGTTGCGCTCACTCTTACGTCTGAAGATTCCCTCTCCTCCACATCCTCCTCGTCCTCGAAAAGTCTACGTTCAAGCATGTCGTGTTTCTCCTAAGGTAGTAGCTCTAGGAGGCTCGAGGTCCCAAGGGATTGTTGGAAAAGGCACAGGGGAGCCCGCGGGATACGGCGGCCCACCTCATCCCTGGCTCCATCTCTTCCTCTCCTCATTCCCCTTCTTCTCCATCCTCCTCCCCCTCCTCCTCCTCCTCCTCCTCCTCCTCCTCCTCATCCTCCAGTCGTGCTCCTCGTCGTCATCCTCCTTGTTATCCTCACCCTTCTGCTCAGAGTCCCCCCTTGGGCAACATGAAGCCATGTCGCACTTGGGGCGTCGGTGTCGTGTGCGGGGTGATGGCGCTTCCTCCTGGGCGCGTGCTCCGAAGGGGCGCCTGACTCGGGGAGAGCAGGCGCCGCCTCGGGCAAGCCGCGGGGGCGAGGGCTCGAGGCGGCCTGCAGGCCGAGAGTGCGAGCCGGGCCGCTCCACAGGAGGAAGACGATCCTAGATCTCGGTGTTCCCAGACCTCCTCGCGTTGTGAATAAATCACGACGAGAGGTTTTTCGTTATTTTCGGCCTCCGCCCGGGCCTCGGGGCCGTCAAAAAACGACTCAGGATGAGAAACCGGTCCCGGGGAAAGGGTCCAGACCTCTGGCGGTCGACGTATTGCCGATCGTTTGCTGGTGGCGCGCGTCGCTCGCTGGGTGCTACTCGGGGCCAGGAGCGGCTGTTGCAGTCCCGCGCGCGTGCGGCGCGGCGCGCGAGCAGAGCAGCTAGAGGTCAAGACGGCGAGGCTCGAAACCCGAGGCGGCTCGAGGCGCTTCAGCTGGCAATGCGGTCGCTCCCGCTCACTCCTCGTCTCGTTTGCCTGGCCGCCTAGCCCTTCCTCCTCCTCCTCCTCGTCCTCATCCCCAGCGTGCTTCTCGAGCCCCCGCCCTCTGGAGATCTCCGGCCCCGGAGGGCCCCGGCGGGGCCACCGGAGGCCCCCCAAAAAGAGGGCCCGAGCCCACGCACGGGAGCCAGATCCTCTGCGCTCTCCCTCGGGCCAGGGGGTCTCTCCGGCGCCGCGCTGCCCGTCGTGGAGAAGCTGGTGTGAGCGGGTCTGAGAGGTGTTGGGGCTGATTGCGGGCGGGGTCCTCCTTGGGACCCAGGACTTTCAAAAACGGCCCAGGAAGAGCTTGGTTACCAAGGGTGGTGCATATCATTTTGGGCTACCAAGGGGAACGATTATTATACACCACCACCAAGTGGGCCACGGCGCCTGCGAGCTGCGCCGCGCTCCTTTTCGCCGTGGCGCCGCAGCGTCGTCTGGCATGACCCTGCCTCTAACCCTTTTTGCGGAAAATTACTGTTGCGGGCGGTGGTAGTGTATACAAATTGGCCTCGCATATCGGGACGACCGACATGGGTACGGGAAGAACGGGTAAAATGCCCAACAGCGGGTCTTGTTCATTTTGAACAGGACTCGCTGTCGGTGTCGCCGCGGCCTGTGTGCATTTGAGACAGAAGGCCGCCTGCCCAGCAGCGGCCGCTGTTGGTTTGGGACAACACATGTTGTTGGGCATTGTACCCAGTTTTTTCCGTACCCACTTCGGGCGTCCAAAGAATAATGTGACACGCGGCATCTCGAATGTTGTTGCAGAGGACCGTCAACCCATGGATTTCTCCATATTCAACTAAGGCCACAGCTTCAAACAGCAGGCGTCCAGATGCTTGCCACGAGGTGTGAAGGCGCCCCGTGATGGTTCAGACAGCTCCCGTGCAGCTGGAGATGGCGATGGATAACTTGTCCTGGGGGAAGGCCCTCGGGTCGGGGACCCGTTTCCCTCAGGACCCGATCTTGGGCACGATCGAGACGGGTACGGGAAGAATGGGGACTTCGTTGTTGGTGTCGCCGCGGGCGTTGCGCACTTGATACAGCAAGTCGTTTGCCCAACAGCGGCTGCTGTCGGGTGCGGAGAACATCAACAGCTGGACATCGCATCATTGTTGTCCGTACCCGTGTCGGTCGTGCTACGCTTCCTCCATGCCAATATGTTCGGTCGGATGCTGTTTTGGGTGATTATCCTTCCTCTGTCAGAGCTGGCGCGCCTCGTGAGACGTTCCTGGTTTGGGCCCAACCATGTGATGCTCCGGGGAAAAGTTCGAGGAACCCACGAGCCCACTAAGGAGCTTGGGCAAATGTCTACGTTGGTCTGTCTTCCATACACGTTTTGTGTGTCATGAGGCGGTATAATGGTATGTGTTGTGGTGACGTTTGTGTTGCACTTCCGCTTCGAAGGATGGTCCATATGTCATTGTAATTTGACGTGTGGTCTAGTTTCCAATGTGTATTGTTCACGTGTCTCCCGCCTCCTGTACCTTTTTCCTCTCCTTTCTCTTCTTCATCTTCCTTCTGTATGTACCCATCCCGCTCTTCCTCCTCTCCTGCCTCCTGCTAATATTATCATGTTCCATCTTCCCTCCTGCTCTTCCCCCTCCTCCTCCGCCACTTCCTCCTCATCCTCCTCCTCCTCCTCCTCCTCCTCCTCCTGCCTCCTGCCTCCTGCTCCATCCCATCCCTCCTCTCCTTCCGAGATGTCGCCGCGGCGCGCCACCGAAGCCGCCCGCTCCCCGCCGAGCGGGGGCCGCACCGCGCCTGCGAGCATGAAAACCCGTGGCAGGCGCGTTCGTACCAGACGCGCGTGGAAGGACCCCTCCCTCCCAGCACACGTTGGACCCGCTTGCCGAATGCTGGATGCTGGAGCGGCGCATATGCGCTGTCCCCAGCCGCCTTGTGGTGCTGGGTCCTCGTTTTGAACACGCATCGCCCCCGCGCTCCTTCCCGCACTCCGTCCTCCTTCCCCATTTTCCCATCCCTGCCTCTTTCTCCCCCGCCAGGCGTCTGCACTCCACATGTCCACTTGGGCGCACCACTCGCACGTTTCGTGTTATTATAGAGAGATCCACCGAGGACCCCAGTGGCGCAGTCCGCACGCGCCTCCCCTACCCATTGCCGCAAACCGTGCTCACGGTTCGTGGCCCCATAGGGAGTTCTGCCGAAGGCCCCAGTGGCGCAGTCCGCATGCGCTTCTCCCACACATTACGACACCTTCGCACGGTTCGTGGCCCCGTAGGGAGTCCCAGCGAAGGCCACAGTGGCGCAGTCCGCACGCGTTTCCCCCACCCAGTATGGCAAACCCTTCTCACGGTTCGTTTATCCATAGGGAGTTCCACCGAAGGCTCCAGTGGTGCAGCCCGCATGCGCCCCCCATACCCATTACGGCACACCCTTCGCACGGCTCGTGGCCCAAATGAGGAGTTCCACCGAAGGCCCCAGTGGCGCAGTCCGCATGTGCCCCACCCCTCACCCACCCATCCAGTACAACAGTTCGTGGCCTCATAAGGAGCTCCACCGAAGGCTCCAGAGGCCGCGGCCGCATGCGCCCCCCCCCACCCCCCACACCAACCAGCACAGCGCTTCGTGGCCCCGTCGTGAGCCCCATCGAAGGCCCCAGTGGCCACAGTCCACATGCGTCCCCCCACCCAGTACAGCGATTCGTGGCCCCACAGGGAGCTCCACCGAAGGCCACATTTGCCGCGGCCGCATGCGTCCCCGACACCCAGTACAGCGCTTCGCGGCCCCCCATAGGGAGCTCAGCCGAAGGCCCCAGTGTCCGCGGCCGCATGCGCCTCCCCCACCCAGTAATTCGCTTCGTGGCCGCATAGGGAGCCCCACCGAAGGCCTCAGTGGCCGCGACCGCATGCGCCTCCCCCACCCAGTACATCGCTTCGTGGCCCCATAGGGGATTCCACCGAAGGCACAGTAGCCGCGGCCGCATGCGCCCCCCCCCGCCCCCGGCCCAGTACAGCAGTTCGTGGCCCCATAGTGGTCTCCATCGAAGAATCCAGGGACCGCGGCCGC